TATATAAATTAATATTTTAATAATTATTTTGTAGGTTAATATACTTGAGCTCTTGTGGATCTTCATCAATTACAAAGTAAGTTTCATTTTCACTATATTTTTATAATTGTATAGTTAAATATTAATTTTTTTATTAAATAAAAAATCAATTATTTGTGTATGATAAATTTTGTTGATGATTAAATTTAACATATTTATATATATGTATATATATGATAAATTAGGATTTTAACCAACTAGAAAATATGTGAAAGATATCATAATTATTTTGAAACTAATCATGTTATTAATTTTATTTTATTGATTTAATAAAATTATGGAGGATCGTAGTTGGAAGTATAGGCGTTGAACTCCACGAGGAGAGATATATAATGAGTTTTATAGTGGAGTTGAATATTTCCTTCAATTTGCATACAATAGCCTTGGTCTTCAACCGAATAATTTAATCAGATGTCCTTGTACTAAATGTTTTAATTTACCGTTGATGACTCGGGAAATGGTATGGGACCATCTTACTAAATATGGTTTTATGAATGCTTATTTTGTTTGGTGGGCACATGGTGAGACATTTGTGAATTCAGCAGATCCATGGTCTGCTACTAATCTGGGAGAATCATCACATAGCCAAGATACACACCATGATGAAAGGAATGACTTTTGTGAAATGGTGTATGATGCATTTTGTCTAGAGGATGATGATAATCGGGAAATGGAAGGTAATTTCCCCAATCAACATCTGGACAAGGAACCAAACAATCAAGCAAAGGAATTTTATGACTTGCTTCATGCATCTATAATTCCACTTGGTAGTGCTAAAAGAAATGAGACAGTGCTTAGTTGGCTTTCTTATATGTTGCATACAAAGACTGCAAATAATATAACTGCTAATGGTTTTAATGCCATTCTCAAAGGATGTAGAAGGTTGTTAAGTGTTAAAGATCAAGAAAAAGTTCCTTCAAACTTTTATGAAGTAAAAAAATATATGAAAGGGCTTGGGTTGGGTTATCTAAAAATTGATACTTGTGTTAATAACTGCTTTTTATACTATAGGGAGCATACAAAAACATTGACTACATGTCCAATCTGTGGAGAAGCGAGGTATAAATAGAGAAATCCAGGGAGGAATAGACAAAAGGACATTCCGAGGAATTCTCTTTGGTACTTGCCAATAATACCTCGCCTTTAGAGGCTATACATGTCTCGAAAAATAGCTGAGCACATGACATGGCATTTGAAATGTTGTGGTGATATGGATGAGGTCATTCATCTAGCACAATCAGAAGCATGGAGACATTTTGATCAAATGCATCATTCTTTTAAAAGAGAACCTCGTAATGTTTGATTAGGTCTTGCTACTGATGGTTTCAACCCATGGGCTCATTCTTCAACCTCCTACTCTTGTTGGCCAGTTTTTTTAATTGTTTATAATTTGCCACCAGAGATGTGCATGCAACCAGAGTTTACTTTTCTTACATTGGTCATTGTTGGTCCAAAAAGCCCAAGCAAAAATATTGATGTTTTCCTTCGACCTTTAATTGAAGACTTGAAAATGTTATGGTCAACTGGTGTAGAAACATATAATAGTTATCGTAAGCAAAACTTTATAATGCGGGCTATGTTGATGTGGATCATAACTGATTTTCCAGGTTATGGTATGGTGGCTGGTTGGAGCACTCATGGCCAATTGTCATGTCCTTACTGTATGGAGATGACACAATCTTTTTATCTTCAAAATGGTCGAAAACCATGTTTTTTTTATTGTCATCGTCAGTTTTTACCAGAATCACATTGTTTCAGATTTGATTAGAGTAATTTCTTGAAGGGTTGGGTTGAATTAGGCAGTCCCCCTCCTCGATTGGATGGTGTTTCAATGCATCACCGAGTTGAAAACCTTTTTGATGTGTTGTTTGGGAAACCCTTTGAAAACCAAACAATTGAGGGTTTTGGGAACATCCATAATTGGGTGAAAAGGTGCATTTTTTGGGAACTTCCTTATTGGCATGATAATCTTATTCGACATAATCTTGATGTAATGCACTGTGAAAAAAATTTCTTTGATAATATAATACACACTGTTATGAATGACAATAAGACAAAAGACAATGGGAAAGCAAGATTGGATTTAGCCATTTATTGTGACCGAAGAAAACTGCACATGGGATATAATACGCATGGTAAGCTTGTGAAACCTAATGCTAGTTATGCATTGACATCTAATGCTTGTGAAACCTGTTCAATTTCGTTGGATGTACCCATTTGAAAGGTAAAACATACAAAGAAATTGATTGATAATTTAAACTTACTTTTGATTACTTTTTTGTAAATTAATCTTATCAGTATTTCTTTTCAGGCGCATGCGCAAACTTAAGAGTACCATAGGGAATAAAAATCATGTCGAGGCATCAATTGTTGAGGCATTTATAT